CACCGGGGCCAACCAGGGGCATCATAAGTTCTTCAAAGGAAGATTAATGCCCCAAGCAGTCCGTACAATTCGTGAGAAAGTGTGTGACTTGTCATGAAGCACAAAAGAGTGTAAGCAATCATACTGAGCTGCAACCTGGTGTTTCTGAATGTGTTGTAGTCAAATAACTAAAAAACTTGACATGACGATGACATTATTAAGAAATAGTTCAGCATTCTAAGAAATACCCCACTTGACATTGATTCCACTCTTGTGTCTGTGAAGCAGCCTTTATGCTAAGCTAAGCTAACCGGCTGCTGGCCTCTAGCCTTATATTTAAAAAAAAAAAAAAAAAAGTCAAACAGTTCCCTTAAAGTGTCTATAATCAATATTTTTTGTAATAATAATGTATCAAATGGATGTGACACTGGACCTGCAGCTCTCCTCGGCTTCACAGAGCTTCATAGTGAGTTTCAGCTCATTGTTTAGCTGTCTGCTTACAACTGTATTGTTTTGGGTCACTCTCACAGCTCTCAGCATTGTTTTGAGAGTGAATATTGGACTCATATTCATCAGGTGGACCCAAACACGACTCTAAATGAATGATAACAATAACAATTTTGTGTTCACTTCTTGTTGTTATTGCAAGTTTAATATGAGGGTACCTCAATGACAGAATATAAAGTAGAAAATAGAAGCAAACAAATGAAACTACTCTGCTGAGTTTGTCTGCAGGATCCATCAGTCAGTATATGGGCTGGCTGCCCAACATTCTACCTGTTGTTTTGCATAAATAACATTCTGGCAGCAAATTGTGAAAATGAGAAGCTTTTTGTAGACCAGGAGCTGATTTTTTAGTAAATCAATAAAACTACATAATGGCTGAATTAAGTTGCTTTTTGGAGTCGCCTTTCAAATTATGTGAGAAGATGAGAAAATTAGGTTTTGAGTGAGAAAATGTGGTCAGAATTTAACTATACAATAGTTTTATTTATATTTTTCTTCCACTTTTCACGTTGAAAATAAATGTAAAAGTCATGCATACACATAATATCCTGCCGGTGATGTAAAAATTCATCACTGTAGGAAACTGAAGACTGGTTTGTACGTCTTAGACAATGGTCGAAAAATGCTGAAATGAAGAATGGATTTTGGCGTGCATTAGCTGTGATTCAACCAGGTGAGTTGACTAAGAATGCATTGTGACACACTGTGTTGTCCTGCTGATAACCGAGCACCATTATAAGCTTGTTTTTCTCTCCGTCTTCGAGTCACGTCTCAGTGCCTTGCTCTGACGGAGACTGAATGTGAGTAAACTCAGTGCCTCTTTGCAGAATTTGCTAACCACATGAGCAGACAGCGGCGTGCTGCAGGCAGGATGACACTGATTAGTAGCAACCAGACGGCAGCGCTACAGGACTGTCAGCTGTAGTCTGGGGAGGACCAGGCCGTTAACTTTGTACCACTCATCTCATTTTCAAAATCCTAACTTTAAAGCTGCACTTTTGCATATCCAAAAAGACTGCAAGAGGTAATTCTAAATAAACTAAACTTTCATAACAACAGTAAAATCTAGGTAAAGATACATTTGACTGAATTTAAATAATTCCCACAATCCTCCTGAAACACAATTTGAAGCTCCCTATAGGATTTAACATTTCCTGACTTTAGCGCCCCACAGTGGTAGTATCAAAAAGGACACTGTGGGACAAAGCAATGTACGCCACTACCGGGCAATGAAGGGCTGAAAGCAACAAATACAACCTACACCGATTTTTGTGATTGTCTCAAACCCTTATGCCATCTGAATAACCACATAAACAACATGAAGGGGCTTTAAAGCAATATTCCAACGAGAATCTGTCTCGTAAGTATCAAACATTCACCCCCTGAATCTCAAAATGTGGCTGTAAAAGTTTTGAAATAATAAAGAATGAAGTCTGTGATCTGCTTGAATCTATGCCATTTATAATGCATGGCTGAAACAACATACACAAACAATAGAAATTCTCAACCGCTCCTGGGGCATAATCCACTTTTCTGCTTTCAGTGTCTGTGTGCAGCTTGCTCCAGACAGTCTTATTTTTACCATAAAAAGAGTAAGAATACACACGACCTGGAAAAAATTCCGCTTGTGCTCATAGTTCTGTAGTTTCTTCTTTTTGTTTCAGAATAAGATGAAAAAAAACTTGGTGGTTAGAAGGTATAGTGTTACAACTATACAAAGAAAGAAGGCAATGCTAATAAAATAACACAAACGAATAACATAAACTCAGACTGTATCGTTCAATAGAAGTATTCTGATCATTTACTGGTAAAAGTACCAATACCAGTCTGTAAAAATACTCCATTACATTGATGTAAAGAATATGATTTATTTGACTGACATTTTAGATTTGTTGCAGTGAGATATTATTGGGTTTATATAGTGACTTTGGTGTTGTAAACGTTACTGTTGCTGCTATAGAAACAACAGTTAGTTGTATTTAATGTATAAATCCATTCTGATGCAGTCCAGGACATCTTTCTTTCTTTCTCTTTCTTTTCTTTCTTTCTCTAATGTCTGAGTATAATGTGAAAAAGTACAACCTGTGTTGGTTTTTAATGTAATAATAACAGATATAGAGATAATAGATGGTGTAAAAATGCATTTTTTTTTGTTTTAGTTTTTAGTCAAACTCCCCACCATAACCACAGTACATAAGCATTTTTGTATGTAGCCTCATACAGGCCATTTATGTTAGAAATGATGATATTTTGCATGATGTGAGTTGAATTCATATTTGTTTATATTTATTTTTTATTCATATCTATGGTGTAAGATCTTTTTGGTTGGGTCTTACATACTTATGTAGTATGTGTGTTGAGCCTGTACTTTAGCTATAGATTCATGTACATCTGTGGTCTATATACCCATAGTAAATGTCCCTTTTTACATGTAAAGTGGCAGGAGGGAAGCCCTTCAAATGTATTCACCCTAAGGCCCCATACTGTGTTAATCCGTTTCTGATTACAAGTACAAATTCTGCATTCAACACTGTAGTGAAAGTATGTAAATATCATCAGCAAAATGTATGTAAGTAAAAGCACATACAGCAGACTACATTACTCTGTATAGATTAAACCTGTATATGTTATGCCATTGAATTATTATTACTGATGCATTCTTACATCAAGTTTCAATTTAATTTAATGTTGTAGTTGGCAGATGTGGAGCTGTTTCTAGCTGCTTTATATACTGCTGGGTGGTTTAATGTACTGTATAACAATGTATCATATTTTATATGCTCATAAATAATTACAGCTGTCAAATAAATATTGTGGAGTAAAATGGGCAATATTTCACTCTGAAGTAGAAAGTGGCATACAATTAGAATTAGTACAGTACAAATAGCCCAGTACATGAGAAAACACTAATGTTGGGCAGCAGAAAGGTAGCTAAAATCCAGAATAATTTGATATCTAGAAAAAACTCACAGTTTTTGTTAACATGTTCAGTCATGCAAAACTAAGATCAGTACTTGAAGTGGTTTGGATCTCCTTTGTCAGCAAATACAAAACCAGTATTTTAGATCCATGGTCAAGAGAAAGAGACTCAGTTACATTTAACCTGTTTGTAAAGCAATTTACTTTTGTGTTATTGCTTCATGTATAATAATTACCATGTCTCATTCATCTTTATCTATTGTGTATGTTTTAGTCTGAGCTCATGACTGACATCAGAAATGTTACAGTAACAAGTTCTATGGATTCTTCTCTCGCTCATAATGTCATGACAAGCTTCCAGGGAGGCATCCTGCTCCCTCAGGTGTTTATTGACATTAAAGATGTCAACCTCCTTTATTCAGCTTATATGTCAGCAGATCCAATATATTTCCAAACAAGCAATACATTCGAAAACAGTGTTTATATGAATGTCTTTCTCTCCAAACCTGTACAAGGTCATGTTAGTGATAGCATCGTGGGAGGAGAATGGACGTTATATATTATCAGTGTAATTCAAACTCCAATCAATGACTCCAATCCACCAATCCACTCAAGACTGATTGTAGGCCTAAAAAAACAAAGGCACCTAATTGGCTCTCAATTTGATATTCCCTTCAGAACAAAAGAGCTAATAAAAACTGTCAGGAAGAAAAATATGTTATATTAGTATAATTAAATGTTGTATTGTGGTTAATTGTATCTGTTTATTTGTCAAATAAATCTGCCTTCACAAAAATGTCACTGTTAACGGAGTCTATTTTATTCTCATTTACAAAAGCATTTGAACACACCACATATAACCGACCAGGGGACCTTGAAGGCAACATGTGCATTGCTGTCTCTGGTCCAGTAGATGGGGCAGTGAGGTTGGGATCTTGGCTAGGCTGGTTCTCCACACACCACACAGCTAAACCCGCTTTTCTACCACTGTCAAGTTAGAAAGAGAAAGCTAAAGCAGTACCGAAAGACTGTACACTTTATTTTCAAAATAAAAGCATATCGTTGCCTGTAATGTGCCTTTGTTCTCAAAACAGAACCTGAAATATCCTGCATCTATTTGATTTCTCACAACTCTGTATGCGTGAATGTAATGTAACTACCACAGAAAACCACATTCAGTTGCCCCAGTGCTGTACTCAGTAAGCCTTGGTGATCTAAATGTCAAATCATGTGTTATGTACTCCCAGACCTGTTTATCAGGTGTAATTCATTAATTATTTTTACTCATTCAGGCAATCATAAGAGAGAGGGGGTTGACACAGAGGGAGGGTTAGAACATCACAACAAAGACCCCCCCACACTGTATATTGCAAGTGCAAATATCATGTGAAGTAATGAAATGCTATATTTATAGGATTCATGTGGATTAGTGTGCGTGTGTGTGTGTGTGTGTGTGTGTGTGTGTGTGTGTGTGTGTGTGTGTGTGTGTGTCTATGTGTCTATGTAACATCTCATAGCACACACGCTGCCTCCAATAATGCGCAGGTTGTGGCAGCATATTCACGCAGCAGCTGTATTTTGAAAGCTGTCACAGGAAGTGTTGCTGCGTTTTACGTCTGACTTGACGCCGGTCTGTGCCGCTCTGTCGGCAGTCGGTCGTACCGGAGAAACCGAAGCGCTGGATTCAAGTGTTTAACCCGGTTCTCCGTGGCTCTGAGACACTCAGTTCCTGCAGGTGAGAAACATGTCAGAAATGCTATTTTGTGGAGCGTCTGGGGCGAGCGGAGACCTGCATGCAGTGTCTGGTCTTCTGCGGTGAATACGAGTGTTGAAGGGGCAATTTTAATTCCTTGACTCGGTTGCTCGCTCGGTGAATAGCAACACAAAAGCTACACATCGGCACGGTAATGTCAGGTCTCGAGTCCTGCACTTTGAAGCAACAAGTAGCGAGAAAATAAAGTTTGGAGAAGTCCACAATAACACATGACACAAACAATAGCTCCATGAGCAGTGTCAGCCAGTCGTTGGGATTGTTTGGCTAACGTGTAATATTAACGAGTGGGAGCAGCTAACTAGCTAACGGTTAGCTAACTAGTTAACTAGCCGTCGTAACCAGACACTTTTATCCAGTAACGTCGCGTATTAAACTGAACTGCGTGCGTTTGTCACGTCAAGAAATGGTAAACATTTGACGTGTCAGTGTCGCTTTGCTTGTTGACAAACGCACACGAGTTTATGTGTTTGGGAATAGTTATAATTCACTCTTGGATTCGGCATTCAAACAATATCGTTACGTGAATTAGCATCTCATGAAATTAAGATTAGACCCAACAATGCTCCTCCAGCGCGGAGTTAAACGGCGACAGCAAACTGTGACAGTTGTGGTTTGAAGTTTATATTTCGTTTTTTTTTTTTTTTAGGTGTGTCTCTTGTACAAATACCTTGTTGATATTTGACTGCTTTATACATTTTACTGATAAGTAACAGCATTAAACTGCCAGCATTTTGACTGGAGTTTGGTGTGGCGCATCCTGGAGCTACAGGTTGGTGGTCGCAGACAGTGAAGTGGGACAGGAGGGGCATAAATGTTGATCCAGTCCCGCCTGAAGCATCGTTTCACTGTACCTTGGTCAGACGTAGGCTTGGACACTCCGAGCTGCCAGTATTTTTAGAGCGCCTAATGGTAGGGTTTATCGTGTAGGGCTGCATTTACTGCAGTTTTAGTCTGGTTCTCCCCCCATGTTTCTGCTTGGATGCCAAGCCTCTGCCCTTGCACAGACTATTCATGGACATGTATAACTGCTGGGTTTATGGTGGGAAATGGTACAGACTGTCTGTGCTGAACATACGTGTGGCACTGGAAACCTAAGACGGAGACTGTGAGCCATCCAGTTGTTAGATTTTTATTTCACTTACTGCAGAGTGTACCCTTTTATGTTTAAGCAACAAGCAATAAAGGTTTAAGCTATGAGTAAGATCATGAGAATAATGTAATGACATATTGCTGCTTCCTTTGCATTGCACTCTTATTATAGGGCGTTACAGGGCATGTAGGAAATGACTAACTGACCTTAAAGTCGCCAGGACGCATTGGGGAAGTCATTTACAGTTAATGGCTCTCATAATGCAGTGAATGTCAGACATTGACACTGAAAAATATTTAGACCATCTGACAATTTTTACAAAGTTGAAGGCATGTTAAATTTTTTTCCACAACCCAGACAGATTGTTACCTTTGATGCCCAAATTATGGCTCCTCTCTTCTCCGTGTTTATCTCTAATGTTAAGCACTTCCTTCCTGTTCCCTTGAATATGAGGCAGCTCTGTCACTGCTATTAAGCTCCTGGGCTCCAAAGAAGAGTTACTTGGGATTCACTGAAACTTCCCTAATGATACTGCTTCTGCATCTCTCTAAGCATCTTTACCTGCGCGTGGCTCCGTGGTTTTCCTCAACCAAAACAGTGTCTTTAGCTCTAGCTGCTAAAAGTTTGTTGTTAATAAGATGTAACTTCTGGGGCCTGTCAGACTGTGTCAATCCATGTGCTAGGGATCAAGGGCTCCAGCTAATGAACTGAAAAAAAAAGCCAACTGCTCATCATGAGCTTACTCTCATAAAGAAATATACACTTGAGAAAAACAACCAGATTCTAACATTGTAATACATTATATGCATTCTCATTCGCCCACTCACTCTTTTGTGTCCAGACTGCAGGGATGGGCCGTGTTCTGGATGGCTGACGGAAAGGGAAGCGGACCAATCACATGATAAGATGCTGGCTCGTAACCGCTTCCTCCTCCTGGTGGTGGTGGGCGGGGCCGCGCTGGCCATCATCAGTCTGAGCCTCCAGTTCTGTAAGTTCAATCTGTGTGATGTGCTCAACTCAACGAATTTACATATTCATTCTCATTCTCTCTCTCTCTCTCTCTCTCTCTCTCTCTCTCTCTCTCTCTCTCTCTCTCTCTGAAGCCCTGGCCCAATATTCAGATTTTAACGTGGAAAAAAAAAATTTGTTCAACAGAGTTCTCTTCTGTTTGTATGTGTGTTTATGTTCGTACATGCATATCCTCTCATTGCTTTCCCATTCGAGAGGCCCTATTCAAACCGAAACAAAGCAGAATCCCCTATAGGGTTCCTATAAATATCCAGCACCAACAGTGGGCCTCTGGATGCTCTGAAACCCTCGGGAGAGTCTGTGGCAACACACTCACATCTGCTGTGGAATCCCTAGGTGTACACAGTTGGGTCTCTTCCCCATCAAGTCATTGTTCAGCATCCTCCTGTAGGTATTGTGTAGACGGTGTATCCCTGCCAGCCACAGTGAATGCAAGGAAACCACCGCTCAGTAAATGGAGACGGCCTCTCCTGCACTGGATGGGATTTGCAAGCCTCACAGGCATGATTGGAAAAACAGTGTGCGATGAAGCCGGCAGTGCAAATGCAAATTTGTATTTGGATGTAAAATATGTCTGATTGAGCCACTTCGTGCTGAATTCCTGAAGTGTTTGTGGTGATCATAAGCTTGTTTCTGAACAAGCTTGTAGGATTAGACTGGTATAAATCATGCTCGCTCACACACAAGATTAGAGTGGAATTCCGCGCGACAGTGCTGGTATTTTGGACCGCATGTTTGCCAAAAAATTCCCCTGAGCTGTCCTCCTTCAGCTGTTTTCCCCCCCGATTCTGTCTCCTTGTTTAAACTCAAATGTGTATGCTTGTGATACTGAAAGCTATCACTACTTCTCCTTCCTCTCTCTGCTTCTGTTGCTTTAAGTACCATGCAAGATCAGAGGTGGACGAAAGACAGCAAGAGCAAGTAGGCTCTTACTCATCCTCGTCCAGTGTTTGCAGTTTGAGAACCCGAGTACACACTTGCCTCCACAGCCATCGCTCCCTCCCTCCTCGTCCTCCTCCCTCTCCTCTAGATAATAACATGTGCTTGACCGTGTAAGAGGAGGTTGCTGTGTAAGTTATTATTAATGCCTCGCTATCAAACCCACTCTCACCTCTTTCCCTGTAATCATCTCCTTTTGTAAAATACTTCCACAGAGAAAGACGCTGTGATGAGAGAACCAGCCTTTCAATAACTGGGAGTGTGTAGGTATTTGCATACATGTCTTTGAGAGTTGATGCTCTCTTTTTCTCCCCCCTCCACAGTGGATATGTAATTATTTACATTTTATTTTAAAGTAAAGGACTTTGTTCATTGCGGGAAGGTTCTCTTTCAGAACAGCCCTCACTTTATTTTTTGATCAGCAGTACTTTTGGAGAAAAGCTGCTGTCATCATTTATTCATCATACACACTGTAGAGAAGGATTTGAGCCATTATCCAGGAGAAGCACGGGATGCAAGCTTATGGGATTTCTCCTCATGTTTAATAGAGGGTTAGCTTCTGTTTTTGTTCCATGTTTCTGTTCTTTTTTTATCGTCTGCACTCTCTGCATTTTGGTCTGCAGTCGCTCTTAAGAAGAGCCCATTCATGTATTTATTGTTTGTTGGCCATTAGCGTGAAGACACTGAGTGACGGATGATGATCGATGGCGGAGTAAATGCCTCTCTCTGGCTCCAGGCTACCTAAAACCGGGCTGGCTGCGAACACGTCAGCCATGTGGCGCTGACTGACACATGGGGGACTCCCAGAGGAAAATGACCACAGAGCTAAGAAGCATGGAAAGGAGAGGACAACTGCAGGACAGGGAATTAAAGGGACTCAAACACAGACAACAGGAACTGTTTTTGAGTAGTGAAGGAAAAGGTGAAGTAGAGCTTGATGGGGAGTTAAGTGCTCCAGGAGTGCTGGTGGGTTCACAGTGAGAGTGGAATGTCATGGGAGGATATAAAAAGGTTGGTTGTCTGTGAGGAAGGAGAGAGGTTTAAGCACAGTGATAAAAAAAGAGCTGCAATGAAATGTGGCATGTTTGAGGGAGAGGAGAGACAAAGATTTACACTCAGTGCCTCAAATAGAATCAGACATAATGCTGTTCAGGAACTTTGATCGTGTTGAGATTTGCTCATCACCTTTGCAACCAATGCTCCCTCAACAAGTGTCAGTCAGTGTTAAATAGGCAGAGCTCCAAGCACCTTGCAGATTCTTCTCTCCACATTCCTCACATTCTTACTTTCTACAGTGTCCGCACTCTTGTTGAATCAGACCGACTGTCCCTGCGCTGATAGAGACGGGGGTGCAGCTGAGATCTGGCTAGTTTCTGAACAAAAGGCCAGTCTTCAAATGGCTCTGAGATTAGTCTAATGCACGTCTGACAGTTTCACAGAAATAATGACTGACTTATTTTAAGTCTAAACCCTGCCCCCAGGCTAGCTCTGAACTAAGAGATTGGATTTAGATTTCAGATTAGATTTAAACTTGATTGTCCCACAGGGAGATTTGTTTTCACGGACAGTTCAACATAGAAATGCACAGATATAAAACAGCCATGTTGCCATGGTAACAGTCATTGACACCTGCTGACGATCCTGCCTGCAAAGGCTGCTGATCAATTTATTTCTGCAGTATCAGATAAAATGAACACAAATACAGGTCGGTGACAGCAGCTGTGCTGTTAGATCGGCTATATTGACTTTTAAAACGAGTGATCACAGAGCTGGTTAGAGCCAACAACCCCCAGATGGATTGGTAGAGCATTGGATACATGTACCTGACCTTTCCACTACTGCTACCATCAGGTTGACTTTTTAGTTTATTGAAATGATGCGTGCACTATATGAGTAAAATCTGTGATGTGCAATAACAATGTTAAATATTGCGATAGATACACAAATACTGTGCGTGTTAGCTATGCAGTTCCTATGTCAGCCTGGTTGTCTTTAAATTCAGAACTGGATAAGAATTGAATATTTTAAATAAAAACCAGATGTTTCTAGAGCGGCAATAGAAAAGTCACTATGTAAACTCAATAGTATCTCGCTGTACACAAAATATCAATAAAATAAAACATAAACTGAGTAGGGTTTAGAGTTTTCGTCATTCATCTTGTCCTCTATCCTCCTCTGATGTGACTCTCTCTGCAGGTAGAGAGGAGCACTTACTTCCAGTGACGAGTTAGTTGTTGTCAACTCGAGTCATTTTTGACTTAACTTCACTTTGTTCACTTAAGTGTCTCCACTGCGGACTCTCTGATCAGCCATTTTCGCTGCGCTTGTGTATGTTTGTGTATGTGGAGGAGCTCAGCACCATAATAAATACTCCGCTCTGTAGCTCCAGGGTCCATTTAATACCACATTTCCATACCCATCCCTACATAAAATGATATTTCTTATTCATTGCGTCTCTTGTGATGTGTTCATGTTCAGATCCATATGATATATTGGTCAGTCCTATTGCATGGTTCGTTGTTAAATGTGGTACACACATTCATGGCCCCCAGATGATGAACTGTATTAACTAACTAATCTAGGGATGTCACGATACAAGAAATTTAGGAGTCGACTCAATTCGACCAATACGAGTGAAACTCCATGATCATTGATACAAATAAATCAATAACAATAGATTCCATGTACTCCAACAACAGTGGCATGTAAATGAAAAGAAACAACTAATCAACATACTTTTTTCTGCTTGCTTGTTTGCTTTCCACAATTTCAGCGCTCCATGAAGCTATCTGGGCCAACTAAACCAAACTGCAGGTGCAGAAGGGATGTAACACTCACATTGTCATCTACAGGCAACAGTTCACCTAATAAGCATTTTCTTGTGGTAGGAAACTGAAACGTAGCGGAAACCCACACAGATATTGTGAGAACACACAGGAAGAACGTCCACACAGGAGGGGTGGGGCTGTGCTATGAGGTGACGATGCTAACCACTGAGCCACTGTGCTACTTTAAATAAAACTGAATATGAAATTACACTCTGTATGAGAAGATATTGAGGGATTTGGATCAGCAAGGGGGGCAATGAGAGGTCTTATCAGTACATCCGTTGCTTTTGCTGTATTGCCAAGCATTACTGCTTCATTGAATTTACTGAGCAGGCTGTTAATCTGTGATCAGATATGGTTTGCATCCCTGTCGAGTTTTTAGAAAGCCACATAGTCCTGCCTCCTTCAGTTGTAAATAGTTTTGTTTTTGATTCGTTCACTGTGAGCAAGACACTTAGTGTGATTCTGTTTGTATGAATGTAAATGGACAGCATTTATACAGCTTGTTTCTAGTCTACTGGCCACTCAAAGCGCTTTACAACACATGCCAACATTCACCCATTCACACACGCTGATGGCAGAGGCTGCCACGCAGGGGGGCCATCCTGCTCATCTGGAGCGGTTAAGCATTCAGGGTCTTGCTCAAAGACACTATCTCTAGAGGATCCGGAGATCGAACCTGGAAACCTCTGATTTCCTGGATGACTGCACGGGAGAGCCATGTGACAGCGAGAGAGAGATTGAGAACTTGAAGCTCTATTATGAAGGCCAGCTGCAGGCTGCCATTTCCATCCACACATAAACAGTTCTGAGTCTGTGTCAATATTTGTTACACCTTTACACTGGTTTCTGGTTACTCCAACACGCAACACTTTGGAGACAGGTAAGTGGGAACACACCCTCTTCAGTTCAGGCCCAACCACATTCTGAGTACCTGTTCACCCCCCAATCACTGTGGTGCAATAGCTGACTATTGCAATTGACAATTTGTTTGTGTGCCTTTTTGAGGAAGAACACCATCTTAGCTTATGCCTCCAGGTAGGAGTCAAGCTGTGTCTGTGTGAGCATAATGATGGGTTCACCAAAACGTGGAGGAGGAAAATTTACAGACTCTACTGTATTTAGCTCTGTATTTGGGAGTATGGATGCCTACGTACGTGTGTGTGTGTGTGTGTGTGTGTGTGTGTGTGTGTGTGTGTGTGTGTGTGTGTGTGTGTGTGTGTGTGTGTGTGTGTGTGTGTGTGTGTGTGTGTGTGTGTTATACCATTAAAATTCAAGAGAAATGTAACAGTATCGATGTCAAACTGAGTTGTCAGCATTATCGAAAGCCCTCTCAGACAGCCTCCTTTTGTGTTTATAAGATCAAATGTAGGTGGATGGAAAGTTGGAAGCCCATTTTAAGTCCTAAATGCTTATTACTGCAGCCACATTTAGAGTGGGTGTGTGAATTTCCCGTGAGTGTGTTTGTGTGCTACAGTGAGCTCTGTGTGCCACTGCTGTGTATGCACTTGGTTGTGTTGGGCAGCGAGTTACAAAAGCCCCATTGTGTAGGTGACTGTGAATGAGCTGGCCTCCAAAAGTTTGGTTAGTCTGGGCAGGCGTGTGTGTGTGTGTGTGGATGGGTAGCTGGGGGTGGGGGGTGGGAGGTGGCAGAGTATGGGGCACAGAGCGTAGAGGGGGACAGGTTGTGGTAATGAATGAGCTCCAGTGTGTCTGTATGGCTGGACCTAAAGCTACCGAGCAGTCGTCAAAATGGTCTCCACTGTGGCCGTGCACCTTTTCTTCTTCCTCATCAGTGGTGAGTTTATGCAGAAATCCTCATATAGAAAATCTAAACTCTTTTAATGAAGACCTTACTACTTCCAATCTAGAAATGGAGATCTTCACCACTATTTAACTTGAAGATATCTTGCTGTGTTGTTCTAGGTGTAGTTCCCAATGCCAAACAAATGCCAAACAAATAAGTAAACCTCAACAAAGTTTGGCTGGACCTTGGCTTTGTTGGAATTCATAATGTGTTCGTTTAACTTAAGACAAGGCTTCTGCCTGGTTGATGAGGTTTCTCAGTATTGATTAAGTTTGCTGTCCTCAAACACTTTTTTTGTTTATGAGTAGTCATGATTGACTTCAGTATTTATCTACTACTTAAACAAGATAATTAGAAAAAAAAAAAAACCCACTCTGTAGCCATTTCAACAGCTGTTCAGATGAAGTGATACAATAATGTCTCGCTACAGTTGACACTGAAAGTTTTATCTATTTTTATCCTCAAATGTTTGAAAAAATTCCCTTCAGTTTGTAAAACAGGATTAGCATTTTAAGTTTTATATAGGCATCCGTGGTGTTTCATCTTGCAATGTGATGTAATTGCAGTTTTAGGGCTGTAACTAAAATAGTTTTCAGCATCGATTAATCTGTCTATTTTTTTAAATAATTGGTTAATCGTTTTGTCTATACAATTTCAGAAAACAGTAAGAAATGAGCGTCACAATTGTGACATCTTCGAATTGCTTGTTTTGTCCAGAACTCAAAGATAATTAAGGTATTTTTCCGATTAAATAGTTGATTTTATAAAAAGTCCAGTTAAACTAATTAAAAATAGCCATCGTAGTTTCCCAGAGCCTAAGGAAGATGTCTTTAGATTGCTTCTTGTGTCCAACCAAACGATCTAAGGCAAGATATAAAACTGGGAAAAGGAGCAAAGCCTCACATTTGAGAAGTCGGAACCAGTAAAGGTTTGGCGTTTTTCCCTTGATAAATAGTTCATATGTTTGTTAAACCTTCTGTCAGTTAGTTTTCTTTCATTGCTTGAGATTGACGCTATTTTAGTGTTTGGCAAAATTCACTTTCATGAACATCACATTGATGGTTCAGAAGGATATCGGAAGGAGTCGGCCTCATTCCCACAAAAACATGATCCTGGGAGAAAATGTGTAGAGCAATCATGAGCGGCAAAGAATGTCCTGTCTGCGACACACACAACTGGGGTGAGCCCAGCTGGAGAGAAGAGGTAAGAGAAGTAGAGGGAGGGAAGTGGAAAACTGCAGTGACTGTGTGAACGCTAGAGAAAGACAGTGTGTAACATTTGACATCCCGCACACTATTTATACACCTACACTGGGGATCATTTCAATCTGAGGGTTGTTATAGCAATGAAGGACCGTTAGCTCTTTGTGCTTTATTATCAGGCAGGGCCTCTTCTTTCTCTGCAGCAGGATGTAATATTTGCACAGTTGACTTGCCAGCTTGTGTGTGTGTGTGTGTGTGTGTGTGTGTGTGTGTGTGTGTGTGTGTGTGTGTGTGTGAGAGACATAAGCAGGACTTGGATATCTGTCTTGCCAAAGGGCCGTATGGGTTCAACTTCTTTTTCTTTAGAGTTGGATCTTTGTGAATGGGCCATCCAGTTCCCACAACATCTCTGCTCCTATTGGACCATTTCTCCCAGGGGTCACAGGTCACTGTCGTCCAGGCAACACACTGGTAGCAGTGAGGGGTTTTTGGGGTACAGAGCTGTTGACATGGAGATGTACATAGTTGAATTGGTTTTCTTAATTTTAGGCACTTTCCATCAGGCGGCCTTTTTACTTTTCTTCTTGAATTATTCCTGTAAATCTTTCTTCCACAGTTTTGTCTTAAGTGAAATACATCAACTCCTGTTGTATGGATTGCCATGGAATTTGGGATATCCATGGTCTCATGGAATCCAAATGACTTTGATGATCCCTCGACTTGTCATCTAGGTCAGAGTTCTCCCTTATCCAGAGAAATATCCCAGCATCCAGTGGATGGGTTGCACAGTTTTGTTCAGGAATTTATTGCTCCCAGAAGATGTATTCTTATTTGGTGACGTTGCGTATGTCTCAACAGCTGTTTGGACGGATTGCCATAAAACTTGGCGCAGATGTTCACGTTTCCTCCAGGAGAAATTAAAATTCCTTCGGTGATCCATTTAATCTTTCATCTAGCGCCATCATCAGGTTCGATTCATTTAATTTGTCCAGTACTTTGGTTGATACCTATGATTAGAGCTAATTGGCAAATGTTAACTATCCTAACACACTAAACAAAATGGCGAACATATTAGCATTATCACAGTGAACATGTTAGCATGCTGACGTTTAGCTCAAAGCACCATTGTGCCTCACAGAGCTGCTAGCATAGCTGTAGACTTCTGAGATTGTAGCATGGTCTCTGTGGAACTTTCATGCCAACTTTCAGGTGGTCACAAGTCGTGCTCCCTTCTGTGTTGCCAGAGCTCTCAACAAATCTACAGTGTGCACACAGGAAAGCTCCCGTTGAAGAAGAAAGCCACATGTATTCTTTGTTAAAACATTTACATTTACGTGATTGGGTTGGGGCCACCACAAACCAACAAGCTCATCATCAACCTTCAGTCTTGAATTCTCAGGTTTGATAGCCATAATTGTGGTTGCACACGTGTGTTTGTGGAGCTTAACAATGAGCCTTGTTGAGCTTGTTGAGCCTTGTTTTCCTCTATTTTCCTTATTTTTTAACTTGGCCTCCACTCACTTTCTTTATACCTCTCCAGGCAAGCTTTCATTTTCTTTCTTTTTTTGTTGTTGCAGTGAACCTGATCCCCACCACCCCCATAGTGGAGGAGCGACCCTTCCAGGCTGCAGATGGAGGTGTTGGCGTGGGTCTGGGGAAGAGCAGAAAGAGAGTGTTCCCGGTGCCTCACACCCAGGAACCCAACCCCATATCTGAGGCTTATGGCTACTGCAACACTCCCAACCGCACCGAACAGGCCTGGGAGGGTGGGACCTGCACACACAAATCAAATCTAATCTAACTAAAGACTGCAAGCATGTGGATGCAATATGTGATTTTGTGGTTACATCTACAATTTATGTTCCTGAAAGACTTTAAATCTTAACTCCTATGAGACCAGCGACACTCGATGAACTTACTAAGTTAATTATTTCCAACTAAGCAGCAGCAAGTGTCACAGCATCACCGTTTCAGAGCATTAAAAACAAATTTAGATCAGCTGCTAGAATCACCCCGGTCTGATGGACAGCGTATAAATACTTAATATAGTAATAATGTCAGATTTAGTGTGTCAGGACTCGGGGGATGTGTTAATTGTACGAGAGTCATTTCCACTAGATTGCATCATCCATAATACTGCAGTGCTCTGTCTCTACAGCACAGCGGCATGTAGCCTTGTTTTATTTTTTTCCTCTACTGAAAAGGCAGCACAGCCCGAGGCGATCATACGAATATCCTTCACTGCCGAAGACAAGTTATACCAGCCACCGCTAATTGAATTTTACTCTGTTTATCTCTGGATGGCAGTTTTGTCTCCAATGAAGAAAAATCCATTACGCCTTTTAGATTTAGATTGGAAGTCATTGAAAATCAATCACGAACAAGTCGTTTTTTTCAGGTGGTGTTATTTTCCCTGTGACATGATCATTTTCAAAGTGTCCAGGTTCCTTCCATCTTCTTAATTTACTGTTAAACACACACACACACACACACACACACACACACACACACACACACACAGAGCCCACTGTCCATACTTTGCACTCACAGCCAATGAACAAATAAGTTTGATGTTTCTTGTGTTGCTGCTTATGTGGCATGTCTGCAAGATTAATTAAATTAACATTTGCTTTTGTAAGATGTGTATTAACTCTCCTACCCTCAGTCGATGTCCTCAGTTGAGCACTTTTCCTTCAGTGTTATTGATGTAGTTTTTATAGTTACGGGTAAAGTGTGGCCTTCTGTATATTTTAAAACTGGCCAGTAATTTTTATGGCCACTTATCACTGAAAATAGCAGTTCTTTACACTACTTGTTGGATTGAATGCTGACGGGTATCTCCTCCAACAGGTCACAGTCCTGCTGACTTCAAGCTGCTGTCTGTCCAAGTGATGATTCGCCATGGTGACCGCTACCCACTCTACTCCATCCCCAAGACCAAACGGCCCGCCATCGACTGCACCTTGTCCATCAGCAGGTACGCACACATTATATATAATATTACTGCAAACAAGTAATATTGGAAAATCAAGAAACGCATTCACCAAACACCTAAGTGACCTAAAGAAACCTGCAAATACAGAAAGTTCATGGGTGTATTGTGAGTAACTTTAAGTATAATGTAATCCAAGACAATCACGCTGCAATAAAAGAGTTTCATTGTGAAGCTCAGTATTCAATTTGTGAGTGATACCATATCATTTTCCAGAATTAAATAAAATGTATTAGGTGAAACGATCCAAATAAGCCACAGTTAGCCTTAAAGCTAGCTGGGTACCGGGTCATAAAGGGCACTCAAAATCGAAGTACATGGCAACAGATATCAAGCTCATAAAACAGCAGACGATATAAAAGACAATAAATGCACATACAACAGGCAAACAAGCAAAATTATACATTAAAAACAGCAATCAGGGCGCACGATAGCCCCATGTTCTCTCTCTCTCTCTCTCCCCCTCTTTCCTGCCTATCTTCAACTGGCCTATTAAGTAAAGGCACAAAAATTCCCCAAAATATATTAAAAAGGAAAAAACCAAAAACAGCAATTTTCCCCAGTCCTCACCAAGCAAGGTTTGTTGGATGGATACAAGATAAGGAGTGGAAGAGGGGGGGTTAAAGCAAACACTGTTACATTTACTTGCATTATACTGCAAGGTGTACAAAGAAAGAAAAAGAAAAGCTTCCTGAAGAGCATTCATACACTTTTAACTGGTTTCTAGAGTCTGAAGATAAAGACTTCATGCTCACAGTTTCAATGAATCCAGGTCAAAGTAAAGGGCACAAAATGCCACCAGGATTTAAGCTGGCTTCCTCTGCCTAAAGCCTAACAAGAAGACCTGCTGGAAAGTGGGAGAGACCAATTACTGCAACCTCTTCTGATATCCTCCTACAAAAACTACTGGCTTGATGGCAGCTGTCAAAATTAGCTCAGTGTGTTAAATAGGAAGCATTTTTCTGTGTTAAACCGTAACTTTTACATTTGAATTATGAGGATCTGTATAGGCATTAAACTACAGTGGATACGCTTTCACAATTCCCTCAGTGTCCCAGTGTTATTGCATGTGTCAGCGATAGCGGGTGGATTTGGTTTGCTGTATCTGTTCTGCTGCGCTTTGGTGCAAATGGATACACATATAAACACAAGCACATTTACATGTATGTGTGGTCTGTTGAGGCAGAGTTGTTGACAGCTTTATCTCGCTTGATTTGAGCAGCTCTGGTAAGGCAGAACTGTTACCGCCGCCAAGACTCACTACAGAACTGTCAGTGGAAAATACACACACACACACACACACACACACACACTCAAATTAATATTATCTTCTTTAATTCATTATGCTCCGTTCCCTCATCTGTATCCTTTTCTCTCTGGCACTGCTCATATTGGCTCTGAGACGTTTTCAAGAGGGCAAGATTAGACTTCCTGATAGGAAGTTATTAAAAGCCAGCATGCCACTGAACTTTAGCTTCAGAAGAAGTCTGAAATCAGCTTTTTCACACTGTGTGACTTTCTGTGTGTATACATTTACTTCAGTTTACAGAAGCTCTTCATGTGGGTACACACATGCTATGATAAACTGCTATTTTTGAATCCAAAACATTTTGTTAGGTCGGACGGTTATGGTGTCTGCATACACATCGTCTTGGATAACTTATTTAGAGCACATGGTCAATAAATTCCCTGTGAGCAATCCCCTTTTCTGGGCTGTGTACCTGAGTTCAGATGTAGCCAATGAATTAATTTTGCACAAAGCTTTCACTGCAGCCACATTGGCTGTGCACATCTGGATGGAGCGGCTGTGCTGTAATCTTTAGAGCTGGCACGGTGTACACAGTTGCATTTCAGATTGGCAGGATGCAGTTGAGCCGCTATGTACGTCGAATCATCAGATATTTTCAATATCCTTGATCTTTGAACTCGAGCTGAAAGTAGGCCATCCAGCACACAAGCCTCTTACGATGGAGGTCGGGTTCCATTCAGTAATTGACAGAAATTTAATTTGACTCTTTCCTCCATCTATTAAAAAAGCCCTGGTGTGCCCATGAGCAAGCACCTGCTCCCTTTGCTCTTTGGCCAACAGTCTCCTCTGGCTATAGTACACAGATGTTAGCATGCTGACGTTAGAATTTACCTCAGAGTGCCTTTGTGCTTAAGTAACCTCACAGAGCCACTAGCACCGCTGTTGACTCTTAGAGTTAAGTTTAAGCATAATGAGCACTCTTTGGATGTACAGAGTTCAGCTCAGAAAGGTTGATATTATATTACTGAGCTACCAGACTGAGGTTTATGTGCGAAGTGTGTTTGGATTATTTGTGATTTCAATGTGCTTGTTTTGCCGGGACATTGAATATAAAAAGCCTATTTCATATTCCTCATAATAATGTAGGTAGTTCTGTTTCGTATTTAGAGCAGGGTGTAATTACAGGGATCTGAACTAGCATATGCCAAGGGCTGAATCCTGACAGAGTGCTGGTGTGTGTGTGTGTGTGTGTGTGTGTGTGTGTGTGTGTGTGTGTGTGTGTGTGTGTGTGTGTGTGCGTGTGCCCGAGTATGTGTGCTGGCACCAGCTTGCCGACCCACTGTCTCCGTCTGCGGTTAACTGAGCTCTCTTCAGCAGGGAACATCTCTCTCTCTCTCTTTCTCTCTCTCTCTTTCCTCTTCGTCTTCCACCACTACAGTCTTTTGTCAAGGTTTTTGTCTTCCTGCACCACTCTTCTCATTTACTTTAATTTCTGTCTAGCACTCTTCCCCCAGTTTAGACCACACTGTCTCATTTCCTTTTCTGTTTATTCCTCCCCCTCATTTATACTACCTCGTTTTCCTCATCTCTCCATCCCTTGCTCCCTCCTCACTAATCTCTTTCCCTGTCCTATCCAGTGATAATAATCCCCCGCTTAATGTAATTGGACTCTGTAATCTTTGGTTAGCAACAATCAGCCTAATAGACAGCCTGGTTGGCTCTTTGTCCACACTAGTGTCCCCATCCGCTGACATCCAGTCTCCCAGTGTAGCCAATTAAATCTAGATCGTCCCAAACTCCCTTCAGCAAACTGATCTGCTGATGACAGAGCAGAATGGAGCACTGGTGGGCACAGTATCTCACTCGACTCATGTCCTTTGTGGTGCATATATTACCCTGTAAGTGAATAATATAGTGTGATAATGCAGAGAGAGAGGTGAGTGGATAGATGATGACAACTGCTGAGGCAACGTGACAGCAAAAGGAAACAATTCCCTTAAAAATAGAAAAGGTAGTGCTACTGCTTTCATCTGAAATCAGAGTGGCGCTTTGAAGCTTTTATTTTGACAAAAAAAGGAAACTGTCCTTTCTAGCTGTGTCCTTTCTAATGTAGTCGGTGGCTACAGATGCCCGATTAAGTACACTGTTCTTGGTCAGTCACCAATATCAAGAGTGTGATTTAAGAGTAATGACAGAAGGTAATTCTTTTGATGCACATTCCTGAACCAGTCCATGATCACTATGGAAACAGTGTGAGTGTGCGTGCGTGCGCGTGTGTGTGTGCGCCCCTTTTAATCTGAGCGAGCGGATCTGCAGCTCCCACAGATTTGTTATATTAAACTGTAATCTTTTATCATCTCTAATCTATTAGATCACCGACTGCTCCTCTTGCTGTCCTCATCCCTGTGTGTGTGTGTGTGTGTGTGTGTGTCTGTGTGTGTGTGTGTGTGTGTGTGTGTGTGTGTGTGTTCACATATCTGTATATATGTGGGTGTATGTCCCCAAGGCAACAAATTCTTTCATCTTTTTATATCACCATCTCCCACATTCCCTCCCACTCATCGAACAGTGCTGTAGTCCAACAGTGTTGTGTTAGAGAGACACCTGGTGGTAGATGTAGGAAATGGCCCGCACATGCAGTTCAATGTAAATATCCTCTCATAAATGACTACAGTATTACATATACTGTGAAAATATGTATACTGACAATCAATGTGATTGGCCCTCTCTGTGTCTATTTTCATTCTTAAAAAATAAAGTTGCTTACAATGCTTGTTTTGTCATACTAAAACACCAGTCCGAAACCTAAAAGTTTTCAATTTACAGTGAAATAGTACACAGAGAAAAACAGGAAATCCTCACATTTGAGAAGCTGCAGCCAGAGAATGTTTTGCATTTTTTGTGTCAGAATTGATTCAGATGGTTATTTGATTCTGTTCTGACAATGTACTAATTAATTAATCAACTTACTGTTTCAGTTCTACCAGTGCTAAATGTTTTGTCGAACAAAGCATGACCACGACAATTGTAATTTCATTTTAAACACCGTTGTTTAATGTTAATTGCAGCACAATGAGAAATTTAATTATTTTCAAGGTCCAAGGTTCTTTAAAATATTTGTCCCCTCAGCGGACCACAACTCAAAGATACTCAGTGTGCAATGATTTAAAAGAGACAAAAGAAACATTTGCGAAAAGGTTGGGGCATTTTTGCTCAATAAACAGTTTAAATGATTAATAATTGTTATCAAATCCTTTTGGTTGTTTGACTAATGGATCAACCAGTGTCCCAGTAAGCCATAACAGTGTTGATTTGGGCATTTATTATTTGCTTTTATTTCTGTGCAGAGGGCCAATTTGTCAGCATCAGAAGAGGATTGTGGGTGATCGTTTGATAAATACACAGCTTAATTGTGTAAACTCTTTTGAAGCTAGATTCCTCTTTTTGCTATTTTTCTTGTGTTACATAATCAAAATCAACACAGTGGAGAATAGATATGATTAGCTGAAAATGACCACCATGATCACTGTTTTATAACTCCAAAGACACACAGGCTTTTAATCCACGGGGACAATGAAACAGTTTCTTCTTATAAGAGGCCAACAGCTCAATCTGTGGTTTTAACAGGAAGCTCCCCAGTGACAGTGTGTGAAAATATTAGAAAAGTTCAATTGTGAATGTTTGCATAAGTGTGGTGCATTGTTTTGCATAGTGCTATGGTTTGACGTTAATTATTCTGCTGATACCATGGCTGCTTGCCAGTGGTCAAAATAAAACAGTTGTTTAAGTAAAAACTTTGTGTTGGCACTTTGTCCTGGTCAGCCTTGTAATAAATTATATTTTTACCAGCAGCACAAAGGACCCTCTTTACACTCAATACATTTAGAGCGCTGATCAGGCTATGCGTTTATCTGAAAGTAATGCATACTCTACGACACTTGACCTTCTTGTTATCGTTTTCCACTCTCAGGAAGCCTTCCCACCCCCTGCTGAACTCCTTCATCAGCCACATGGGCCTGGGAGGACGTGGCCATTGGGAGTCACCACTGAGCTCTGTTCCCCGTCTGCCCAACCACAGTGTCTGTGAGATGGGAGAACTCACGCAGACAGGTAGTCAAGGAAGTTCTCCCCACAAAAACAAACAATCAGCCTCAATGTTTCTTTTATGTTCTTGTAATTTTTGTTTGTTCCCACAAATGCAATTATCTACACTGTGTTCCATATGCTTCCCATGTCTGTTTAGATCACTGCCATCAATCTCAGACAGGTTTGTCTTCATTAGTTGTTATTAGTAGGTGAGCCTAATTAATGGGAAACTACTTAAGGATGTTGTTCCACATTATTAGGCAAGTCACAGGTTTCATGCAATATGGGGGAAAAAATATCTTTCTGCAGATGAAAAGTGTGAAATAGTGCAGTATCTTTCAATAGGTGTGAAACCACTGGATATTTTACAAAATATTAAGAGAGCTCATCGTCCTATGAAAAGATTTGTGTCTGAGAGCGCAGACGGGTTCGTTCAGATAAAGGCGTGTTGAGGAAAGTTTCTGTGAGGCTAATTCATCGTATTAAGTGAGCAGCTGTGAAAAAGCCACTGATGAGTAGTAAAAAAGGTATTTGAAGTTGCTGGTGCCTCTGGAGTCCCAAGATCCTTTCGACGCAGGATCCTCCAGAGGCTTGCTGATGTGCATAAAGCTGTATTTCAGCCACCCTTAAACAATGCCCACAAGGAGACATGATTGCAGTGGGCTCAGAAATACATGAAGACTAATTGTCTAACAGTTTTATTCACTGATGTATGCCGTGATACACTGGATGGTCCAGATGGATGGAGTTCTGGATAGCCACCATGTCCCAACAAGGCTGTGACGTCAGCAAGGAGGTGGTGGAGGGATGTTTTGGGCTGGAATCATGGGAAGTGAGTTGGTAGGCCCCTTTAAGGTGCCTGAAGGTGTCAAAATGACCTCTGCAAAATATGTGGAGTTCCTAACTGCCCATTTCCTGCCATGGTATAAAATGAAGAACCATGCCTTTCAGAGTAAAATCATTTTCATGTAAGAAAACGTACCATCCCACGCTGCAACAAATACCATTGAGGCCTAGGCTGCTATGGGCATTAAGGAATCACGGTGTGGCCACCATCGTCTCCTGACCTCAACCCTATTGAGAACCTGTGGAGCATCCTTAAAAGGAAGCTCTATGAGGGTGGATGGCAGTTATACCTCAAAACAGCAGCTCTGGGAGGCAATTCTAGCATCCTCAAAGGAAATACAGGCAGAAACTGTACATGGACTTACAAGGTCAATGGATGAGAGAGTTGTTAATGTGATATCAAGAAAGGGCTCCTATGTTAATATGTAACTCGATCTGTAAAGATGTTTTTGATTTAAATAGCTTTGATTTGAGAAAAAGTGTCCCCTCTAATGCAAAAAAAGTGTTTTGAAACTCTGTTTTGCATAATAATTTGGAACATCGCATTTTGAGTTATTTTGCAAAAAATGCCATTGTCATCATTGGTAATTGTGTTTAATAAAATCCAGATTACGATATAATTGTTGAGGAATAAAAAATCCTATTGACTGCCAATTATATCGACTATTTAGTAAGAAAAAGAACCAAAACAGTATATGCATAATAATTTGGAACACAGTGTATGCAATTAATCTACAAGTTAATGTCTTAGTTCATCGGTAGAGCATTTTGTTCTTCTTGACGATATTTGTTACCAAGCATCCAGCATTTCTGTTCTTTTTCAGGTGTGGTGCAGCACCTGCGCAACGGCCAGCTCCTCTACCAAGCCTACAAGCGTCACAATCTCCTCCCCTCCGACTGGTCGCCCCGCCAGGTGTGGATTGAGACCACAGGTAAGAGCCGCACTCTGCAGAGCGGTCTGGCCTTCCTGTACGGCCTTCTCCCAGACTTTGATTGGTCGAAACTAACCGTGCGGCACCAATGGAGCACGTTGTTCTGTGGGTCGGCCTGCGACTGCCCCGCCAGGAACAGATACCTGGAGGAAGAGCAGAGGAGGCAGTATCGGCTCAGAGTGAGTGATACTGAACTCGAGAGGACTTACGCCGATATGGCACGGACTTTGGGTCTGCTCACCCGCCAGCTCCGAGCTGCAAACCCTATAGACTCCCTGCTGTGCCACCTGTGCCACGGCATTTCTTTCCCATGCGTTCCCATAGGAGATAGTGGCACCAGGGGATGTCTGACAATGGCACAGTTTGCTGTGATTCGTCGACAGCAGCTAGATGATGAGGTGGATCGGAGAAGAGTGGGACTGTACCATAAATACGCCATTTTGGCAATGTACCCCTACCTTAACCGAACTGCCACCAAGATGGAGCGCGTTGCTAGGGACAACGAGGCTGGCCGACAGCCTCGTGCAGGGGGCGAGGAGGTCTTCACCCTGTCTTCAGCCCACGATGTTACCATGGCCCCGTTGCTGAGCGCACTGGGGCTGGAGCAGGCCCGTTTTCCGCGTTTTGCAGCAAGAGTAGTCTTTGAACTGTGGAAAAGTCCACCAGCGATGCAAGGACAGCCGAAGAAGAAAGCTGGCAAAGGTGAGAAGTCGAAGGCGAAAGACAGGGAGCTGTTCATCAGGGTGCTGTACAACGGAGAGGATGTGACATTTCACACCACCTTCTGTCGCTCCCATGACCGCCACGCCAGTCAGCCCCTCTGCCCTCTGAAGAACTTCCTGTCTTTTGTCAGGAGAGACATGTTCAGTGTTGTCAACGCTACTTCCTACCAGGAGGCCTGCTACAGGCGCCCCGGTTGACAGATGGACAGATGGAGAGGAGGGTGACTGAGGAAGGATGCAGCGTTGGCAGATGGTTTCCTTGTTTTTTTTTAGATGTTTTCCACTTTTGAAGATGGTGCACTTTTATGCTGCTCATAGTGTCTTAAAATTCCACATATTTTTTAATATAGTCCCGGACATTCCTGAGCACAAAGTGAGCGGCATACACTCACAATACTGCACATCATATCTTGGTCAGAGGTCTTCACTATCTAACCTTCCTACAAACTTCTTTTTTCAAACTTCTTTTTTTGTTTATTGTATGTTTTCTCAAGCATATCTGAAAGAGATGAGTAATTCAAGGGAAGCTGTATGGCACTTAGCCACTTTACGCCTACATTCCATAATACCATGGAATTGTAAAATTCCAGTATTCCCAAATGCTTGCAAGAAAAGGGAATATTGAAGCTGGAAATATTATGCTGGATTAATCATTCCTGGAAAATATTTTGTGCATAATAAATCTTTTCAATGAAAATTACACTTTGGCCTAGTTTGGCCTACATTTCTCAGTATGACTAATTTGTCACTTAGCATTTCTTTTAATTGTAATGTTTATTCAGTAGGTTGTGTAATGGTTGGGGTTGTTTCCATTTTGACACTACTACTTTGTTTTCTTTGTTTTAGTAAAATTGACTGCGGTACTTTGAAAGTGTTTTTTTCTCCATTAATTTACAACTACAGTACGTACATCTGTATTTATATTAATTGGTGATATAACCGATCACATTCCACTTATTGTTTTTGCTTGTTGGAAAACTGAATTTAATAAAGGTTCTTTATGAGCAGATATTCTTATATCAGCTGTGCCTGGTTTTGCTGAGAAATGGTTTGCTGGTGGTAATTTGTTAGAACTCATGTGACCTGAGTCTATATAAATGCATATACAGTATGTACTGTGTATGTGTAAATGAACACTGAAGGGAAAATTACTTGTATTAATCTACCACTAGATGGCATATTAGATCCACCAACCTCATTCATACCCAGTCTAACCCTCAGCTACTATCAGTTATCCACTTTGTCAACACTGCTGCAGGGGCACAGCACATAGTCAATACATTTATATGAATGTAAACCTTGAGTGCCTATTCCCCCACCACTAGACAAGTCATGTGTCATCATCATTAGGAACATAATACAACGCTGACAAGATATCAATTGTACAGCTCATTTTCAAAAGTGCCTCCGTGTGCTCACTACTTTTTTCCCTTTTAGAATCCTCAGAATCAGGAGAGTATTGACTGGAAAAATGCAACAACAGGAGTGAGATTGGTAAATTACATTTGCAGTATGTGGACATTATATCATATTTGCTGTGGTGGTAGAGGGCTGTTTGCTATTGAATAACCAGGTACACAATTGATGCTGTAGACAAAATGTCATCTGCTGGGGCAAGAATTTTCATTTTGTTACGCCAGGAGGACAGGCTTGTCGGTGTTTTAGGAAATTGTGAATTGAATGAATGAATAATGGAGATTTCCTTGGATAACCATGGGTGTAATGTAAATTCACTGGATTCATAATGTTATTGTTTGACAGGAGTGACACTAAACCCAAGTATGAAAATATTTGAACTCTGGATTTAAAATCACATTCCCTTCTGTTGGCTGAGTCACACCCTAAACTTCAGCTCACATCTCAATCCCAAAGTTGAGGCAAAAACGCATAAATTGATGCAAATTTATTCCCAAACTTTCCCCAGTCACATCCAAACCTTCTCGCGGGCCATTTCCCGTGTTATGCCATGACGTCAGGGTTGTTAATGATAGGAGCTAACCTTCCACGGCCGACACGATTCCTCCTGCCTTTGTCCTGTCCTCTCCCACCAACGCCTTTCCCTCCAGGCCCTGCCACCCCTCTGCCACCCACACCTCTGATGTCATCCCGCCAGACCGAGGTGGAGCAGTAATTTTCTCCCGCCGCAACTCGCTCAATCTTTGATGTTGTTACGCTGCCTCCGGCTTTGGCTTATACACCGGTGTGTATGTATGTGTGTGTGTGTGTGTGTGTGTGTGTGAGGAGGAGGGTGAAGAAAAATGAAAGTGAATGTATTTGTGTGTTGTGTGTGTGTGTGCTTTCACTTGCTCGATGTGTACGTAAGCCTGTTTGTCTAGCCTCAGAACAATGTCCACTTGACCAAGTCTGGCTACAGAATCCTGCGTATAGATTTCCGAACATACAGACTGTCTAGCATCAGTAGCAACACTGTGTGTGTGTGTGTGTGTGTGTGTGTGTGTGTGTGTGTGTGTGTGTGTGTGTGTGTGTGTGTGTGGTGTTTGGAGAGATGATGGGAAGACCGATGACTGACAGTTCAGACAGTAGGAGAGACGCTTGTGGTCAACGCTGAGAAGAGGCAAAGATGGAAGAGAGGGAGAGGTTGCGGTTATGGTTCGACATTAACTTCATGGAATCAGCCCCGGACTCTCCTCTCTCCAAAACCACAGTTATAGCCACAGGTCGGAGGAATTAAAGAAAGAGATTAGATTTCATGTTGTGAAGAGGTTTCAGAGGAGGAACAACAGCTACCAGACTCTAGGCAAATGAAGCCAAGTGCTGACCGGAGGGAGCAGCTCGGGTTCAGCCTAATGCCACCACTAAAGGGACTCCAGCTTCCCACGGTGGGTTCTTGCTTCATTCCACTATAATTCATAAGAAATGAGCCAGTCAGAGTATGTGTGAGAATGACATACTGTAGGCTTCACTCTCAGTTACGATCTTCCCATACACAGTGCAGACAGTTGGACAATTCAACACTAAATTCAGTAACAACATTGGGCTCTTTTACATAAAAGTGATACTATTTAGAGTCTGTGCTGTTGTACTCTTTGGGGTCCTGGTGCCACCTGCTGGAAGACTTTTTAAAGCAATATTTTAACATTTTGAGAACCATACTCATGTGCTGTCTTACTAAGACTCAGACCATCTGGACAGGGAATATGAAGCTACACCCAGGAACTGCTTAGCTTAGCTCAAGGAGTGAAAACTGTTCCGTCCAATAGGAACAGAATACACCCACCAGTACCTCTAAAATGTCCAATTAACACATTATATGTCGTATATGTCCAAGGCATTGTCCAGCAACCCTAAACAACCACAACTTTGTCACTTCAAACACTTCACAAATTAGGTTTATCATGTAAATAGCGAGTCGGGCTAGCGGTTTCCCTGTTTCCAGCCTTTGTGCTAAGCTAAGCTACCAGCTGTAGCTTCCTAATTGCCTTACATACAGGAATGAGAGAGGTATTGGTCGTCATCGAACTCTTAGCAAAAAAGTGAATAAGAATGTTTCCCAAAATGTCAAATAATTGCTTTTACAGGTTTTCATAAACAAGGAAAAGAAGAAAACTGCAGTATTTTACCAAGTTTGGAAGTCAAACCCAAAACCAGGCGAGCAAGGAAAAGTGATTCTTCACATGTTGACATGAGGTGCCATTTCTGCAAGATGGGGTGACCTGTAGTCTGGTGGATAACCTCCCAAAAAACACAGCTTTGACATTTTGTTTGTGCGGATTATACAAACTATACAGATTATACAAAGTCTTTAGGCTAAGATAAGCTAACAATGGTAGCTGATTCAGACATGGGAATGGTATTGATTTTTTTCCTCTAACTTGGCAAGAAAGTGAGTAAACTTCTTTTTTAAGTTAGCCCATGGCTTTTAAAGCTTTTTTTTACAAACTACAATAAGACATCTACATTATTTTACCAAGTTCACCGAGTCCATCCCAAAATCTGGCACGCAAGGAAAAGTGATATTTGCACACAAGGAGCCATTTTTGGTCGATGACGTGACAGAAGAGACCAAAAGAGTGTGTGTATGGTTTAGGGTCAACTAATTGGGGTCTGCAGAGTGTGTGTGTGTCCTGTCTGTCAGTGTCTAGACTGTGCCACCGGTTGTTTTCTCAGATGTGAGGCTTTATTAAGCCCTTTACTTAAGCAAACAACCCGGCTACCATGCATGTGAGTGTGTATGCTGCTCGTACCGTCTGAATGAGAGTTGTGTTTGATGCCCCTTGTTTGTGCACTTACCTGTTTGTGATTTATTGGGATGGGAGCGAATTCTCGTTAGCTAAAATAATCAGGATTTATGAGTCTCTCTGTGCTGTAAGTGGCGGGCCAGAGGCTTTGCCCCACATAGACGCACACAGCCGGGCTAATTGAGTTTGGTCATTACTGTCTCGTTCTTCTATCAAGGGCTCATTCAGCCGGTCATCCATCACACCACACATAAACACACACTCAATAAAAAACAGTTTGTGCATTTTACTTTTCTTCTTTCTGCACACAGCCTTTGAACACTCTTTCTCAAGGTTTGTCTGGTGGGCATCTTTGTTTTGTTTTTTGTGTTGCCATATACCTGCATGCACACACATCCTGATGTCCACCCTGACGTCTCTCGCCTGTCCTCTGTGATATTTTTGCCTTTATTACCCACACTCGATTGTCTTCTTCTTTTATCTTTGGTTGTTGCACACACTGTGTGACTGAGTGTCTCTAGCAGGGATTGGGAGTGTGTGTGTGTGTGTGTGTGTGTATGTATGTGTGTGTGTGTAATCCTGTACAATACCCTCTCGAATGCAAATGGATAAGTACCCCCATCTCATCATTCTAGAGGGAAAAACAGAAGGAGAGGGAAAATGAGACGGACAGACGAATGCAACAGACATACATACCAAACACAGCTGAGCGATAGAGATGCATACAAATGTACAGCGAGTCGACGGCGGGGAGTGAGAGATGGAGTGAAGGAGGAGGGGGAGGAAAGCGCTTGGTAAATGGGTCAGGCCTGTCTGCCATCCCAGGCACATACACACAGTTTGCAGCCCCCAGAGAGAGACCCAGACTGTACAACATGCTGCTGAGAGGAGAGACGACAGGAGGAGACGGAGAAGACAGAGAGGAGGGACGAGAGGAAAATGTGATGAAGTAGAAGGTTGCAGATGGATTGCAGGAAAGAGGATGGAAAGAAAGAGGGACAGATGTGTTGGCTCTGATGTGAAAGGGTCAGATCTCACAAAGACATATGTTGTCGGTTACCTCTAGTGGTATCTAGCTAGGCTGATAGTTTGGGGTTTGTCTGCCGTGATTTTGAGATGTCAGTTCGGCCACCAACGTATATTTTTTTAATGATTTGAGGAGCACAGGTGAGACTCCATTCACTGGGTAAAGTCCTGCTGTACAGGAAAGTCACTACATTGTTCCATTACTGAAGAGATTGAAAGTCAGCAGTCGGCTTATTGTACTGTTCACATATTCAACATCACTTACTGACTGTCTTCTTGTGAGATACTCATTAGTATGTTTACAGTGGCATACTTAATGGTGCCATATTTCAGAGTCTTCAGACTTCAAATTGAATCACATGACTTACACCTGAACCCTTTAAAGACTTGATGTTACACTTGAAAGCACATATTTACATATTTATTATTCATTGAATTGGGTTGGCCACAACTTGTGTGTGTGAAAGACACTATAAACACAGCTTTGAAAGGGAAATGTTAAAATGGCCAGCATTTAGAGACCAGAAATTCTTGCATATGACAAGAACATTTCCCTGAAGGACTTGGACTTGACTTTGACTTTGCTTTTACAAGACTTGAGACTTGACTTGGACTGTTCTCGAGTGACTTGAGGCTTGACTTAAAAACAGCTCTGCTCTGTTCACATCTCGTAAAAGGTAAAGGCGTTGTTGCAGTTCCAAGCTCTCAGTTTTAACTTTGAAACCATCATCAGGATGGAGTCAGGAAATAAGACAAATAAATACTAGATGCAATGTTCTATCTAACAATCAA